TGACCTATAAATCGATTGCCACGACGCGACAGAGCTTTGTGCGGACGTTGGCGTCATTAGGAGCCACAACTCTTGTTCCTTTCCTCATATTTGACATTTAATTAAGGTGCAACCGAGTAACGGCACGGAATTTCTCCGTGGTGCTACCCGGTATGTACGTATCGATTATCGTCACGCGCGTCGAATTTCCATAATAATCGACGACCGGTTGTTTTACCGGGGTCCGAAATTATGCCAACGTATAATCCACGGTTCAATGTCGTGATGATGACTCCCTTAATCGAATTGTTCGCGCCGTTACGCTGGTAACGGGTAAAAAGCAGTTTACGCACGGCGGAATGATTTACGACACTTGGCAAAAAATAAATTTTTTCGCGAGTCGAATAGTAATTACACACAACTGTTATTATATGCGTAAATTAATTATTTCAATGACAGGAGAAACGTTATGCACAACTGAGTGAAAAACAGAAATACTCAAATAAATGTTACTACGAAATGACACAGTATAAATCCCTATTCACAATTTCTTAACTATTTGCTCGTTGTAATTTATGCGCTTGAAACCCATTCTTCTTTTTTATTCTATTCCATCAGTTTTTTAAATCCATCATTATCCATGCGCAAGAGATTAATGAAAGAATAAGTCCATTCTCTCTGTCAGTGGATGAAAACTAACGAAAAAACGTGCTCGCGAGGCGGGTGAGAGGCACGGCTAAGCGTGTGACAGCTTAATAATTGTACGGGACCAGCCGCGGCGGGCTCGCGTGGGCCCACGGGAATCCGTTTTACATGGTGCCGCATAATTACTATGATCCCGCGCTTCACGGTGCTCCAGTTCTTTGCGCGAGAGAAAGACAGGCCGGATCCGCCGGTGACCCCTGTTACCAGAGAGCGACTCATAACGACCACGCCACCGCATCATGAAAGAAAACCTGCAATCAACGCGTCAAAAAGCAGAACTTTTATCCGGACCGCCGATCGTCCTTATGGATCTCTCCATTGCGTTGTTCTCCGGTTTTGCCTTTCATAAAACAGTGAACTGTATCTGGAACAATGTCGACTGGCTTTTCCTTTTTTTTACCTCCCCAGCTTTCGAATTGGCTGCATTTTTTTGGAACGAAATACGCCTTTCGGATGAAGAACTTTCTGTGAAGTTTCGCTTTTCATGCTCTGTACTCCATTCATGTTCATTGTCCTTTTTTTAAAACTGCACTATTGTTA